TAAATACCTTAAAAGTACTTTTTGAACCACTTTTGATTACATCAGCGAGGCGGCTGTGGGTTCAAGTAGACTGTCGGGGTGAAAATTTGGCACTCACCATAATACCGACCCTCGGTTATATTTGGTATAAATTTAGGCATTTATTTATTTATTACTTAATTATTTCCAAATTTTTTTCTCATATCAAGAGATTTTGTAAATCTAAGATTCTGGTTAGTAAATAGTTTCAGGAACAGCTTTTACGGAATACAATCTAGACCCTTCTTTTTTCTTCTATTTTATTAATCTCATTTATATTTGCTTATATATTTTATGGTGTGTGACTCTACTAACGCTGATCAGTTCGTTTTCTTCAGTAAGGTGTGCGGCTTTGCTAATATGACTCATTTCTATATATTKTGATTTTATATTATTTTATCTCCGCCTTTCTAGTATCTCCTCCCTTCCCACATTAATCTCACTTTGTTTCGTTTTGGTTAAGTAATTTCATAAATTTACTTTTTTTTTTATCGTGTCCAACTTTACTTACATTGACCAGTTTATCTTTTCAGCAAGGCTCGTGGCTTTGCTAATATCACTACTTATTCTCTCCAATAAACYTCGTTTGTACCAAAGATATCGGACCACTATAATCTATAGCTGCCATACAAAGTGCACCATCGAAATCAAATCAAATCAATCTTTATAAGGAAAGATTTTTTATTTAAAGAGATTTCCTCACGAAATTYGGAACGGGTTATTGTCCAAAGCAACCCTACAATATTCGAAGAAATTATTCAGTTCRAACACCTATAGCATATAGCTGCCATACAAACTGAACTATCAAAATCATATATTTGCATGGAAAATATTTTTAACTGATGAGATGTCTTCACAAACTCTCATATGAATTATTCTCGAAAACAACAGTGTGGTCTGAGTCACATAGTATATACATATTTTGCTGTTGCCTAGCAGAAATATTTAATTATCACCAGTATTACTAATTAAATCTATTTAAAAAAACACAGAAAAAAAAATATTCCAGAATGTTTAATTGTGCAAACACTTAGGTGATAATAAATATATATGTATACATGCAAGAAACTGTGCGAACCCAAAAATCAGTAGCCCTTTTTGCCAGTCAAATGAACCAAACTAAAGAAAATTAGTACACTTAGCGCATTTGTTCTAATTATACATTATTAGCGATAGTTTATCAGCTGCTTGAGCCATTTTATTGTGTGAATTATAATAGCGGTCTTAGTTGATTAGATTACTCTACACATTTGAGACTAATCTTTACAGCTATATCGCATTTCGGCGCACGTGATCTCAATAAACATCAAGGGCTTTGGCAAGGTGGAGTAATAAATCGAATCAGTTATAGTCTATAAGTAGGTACTTATCTGAAAAAAATTGTACATAATTGGTAAACACCCAACTGGATATCATAAATTCTAATCGTATTTCCACAAACAGTTTGCTTAGTTAATACTAGTGATAAACTACAATTTATGCTCATGGCTTTACTTGTTTGTGCATATATGTATATAATGAGTGATTTATTGACGTGATTGATACTGATATTTTATAGACAAATATTATAGGAGAAAGGGAGGAAAGTTCTAAAATTTTAAATCGAAACGTACTTAAGACAAATATTTTGCGTAATAAATATGGTAGCACTAACCAATTATTGATTACCTACTTTCTTATTTTAGCACAATAGAAAAATTTTGTGTGCGAAAAAATCATGAAAAYCTTTWAGTACGGCTGCATCGAARCTATGGATATCCTACACTGTTGTATTTARTCTGAGGTTATGGCGTTGCCTTYGACRATATTTTATACAAARTTTCGTTAGRATATCTTGTCAAATAGGGAAGTTCTCCATACAAGAACTTTATTTCGATTCTTCAAATCTTCAAATTATATGGCAGTAAATAGTATGGTGGTTCGATTTGAACTATTTCTTCTGAAAAATGCTATGAATAATATTCCTTTCAAAATTTCGTAAAGATATGTTGTGAAATATAGAAATTTTCCATACCAGACTTGATTTCTATCGGTTAGTTAGTATATAAGYTATATGTTATAGACGTTCGATATCCACGATTTCAAGAAATGAGCAGCTTCTTGAAGAAAAAATGTTACGCGCAAAATTTCAACTTGATATGTCAAAACTGAGGGACTAGTTTACGCATACACAGACGGAGGGGCATGACTGAATWGAGTCAGTTCGTCTCGTTGCACTTAATATACCCCGTTCAGKGTATAAATATCGTACTAGAACTCTTTCTCAGTATATAATAGCCAATATAATTTCAAGCTATTAACATAAAATAACAAATATTGAAGCGCAAACAAGCATTCTGTGAAGATAGCCAAGTTGACTTCAAATACTTGTTGAAATTCCTTAACAATTTTCATTGTGCAACACATTTTTGCCAAAGGAATTCGCTTAAAATTTTGACAATTTTCTCATAAAACAAGCAACACTTTTTTTTCATATGCTTTTTTGCATTCGACATTATGTGTTGCTCTCTCCAGCTTGGAAACACTTTTTATGCAAGACAAGGCTGCCTGTGCAAGCAGCATGCTCAACATCTTTGCCCCAAAAATGCAGGGCAATTGTAGGCATGCAGCAAAAACAAATAAACTTTTACTTTCTGTTGAGAAACATTTGCCAAATATGTCAGCTAATATTTCGGGGCGAATTGGAAAAAAATATTTCTTGTATGAACATATGACAAGTATTTGTAACAGTTAGTTAAGCGGATTTCTAGTTGACATCATTGACATCAGTAAAATATTTACAGAAATTGTAGCATTTAATTGTGTTGAAATTATTTGTGTTTTTCATATCAAAATAAATGCTTTTGTATATATAAAGTCAACCTTAGCTTTAACAACAACTTATTCACAGTTATTTTTAAACTACTTAAACCCAGCACACTGTCGCTTGCTTCCTTCGTAAAACTATAAAAAAAAAATTTACAAAAAAAAATATAAAAAAGTGCAAAAAAGCAATATTCTTGATTAAAATATATATAGTAAAGCATTACAACAACAACTTTAGTGAAAGTTTGCCAGCAAAGTATTAATTTCTGATATTGCCCAAACACAGCGGCAGCAAAAAGCTGGCGCAATAGCCTGCACAGTGTCTGACAAAAGTATGCTGATGACAACAAATTAGAAAAAATCGAMAAAAGCGAAAATATTTGGCACAAGGTTCTCGGTGTTGCTGCCTGCAACAAAGTACGAGTAACTGGTATTACAACAAAAACAAATATACAAAGAAAAAAATCCGTAAACGCCTAGTTGCAAGTAGTGGACATACATATATCTCCAGCCTCAGCGCCTAAAAGCAGACTTCGTTTGCAAAAGACTGCAAAAGACCTTCATGTAGACTTGCTTATGCCATAGTAACTAACACATTTTTTTCACTTTATTGTAATTGTTGTACTTGTACACAAGAGCACCCAGGAACCCTAAATAGTGTATAAGGCTTTACGAAAATTATTTCCACACATATTTTGTTGCAGTCCCCATTCTTGTCTGCCATTGTTTTGACCTCAGCGCAAGCCAGCACATTTTCACTTCACACAATTGCTCGTTGACCGCTTAGATAATCCATGGTGAATTGCAACGTGTTAGCTAGATAAAGTTATAAATTATACATTTAATAGTATGTAGTTTGCTTCGACGCTATGGCTACTTCTGAAGGGAAGTGGGTATGTGCACACACTTTATTGTTCACTTAGCTAATTGTTTGTAAACAATAACAGTAAAAGTGCACAACGGCGGGTTAAGGTGAAATTGATATATATTTTGTTTAAGTTTATCTGGTTTAGTGGAGGTTAAAACTTATACTTCGCATTGTTGCAGATTAAATCTGATTTCCGCGATCTAATTGCCAATTATGAAATTCAAAAGTTCCATAGTCTTGAAGTTGACCTCCAAAAAGTATACATATCAATGTGTATTGTCAATAACTGAACATTAATTGCGACCTTCTTTGAGTTTGAACTCAATTTTTGTAGTCAAATTTTGAAGTTCGTGTGAGGAACTTTGCTTTATCCATTTTGAAACCGATTCGCAAACTCTAAAGTCCTTTACTCTTAAGGTCGACCTCCAAAAAGTAGATTCATGAAGTTTTTTTTTTTCTTTTCAAGAACTAGCACTTCAAATAAATATTTCGTACCGTCAGTTATCAATGACTTAGTGACGAAAATGTCTCGAGACACCCTTTGGTTTGAACACACATTTTGTAGTTTTACTTGGAGTTCCTCTGAAGAAAAGTTTACTTTATATACATTGGTAGGAAGCTAAACAGAACTAGGGAATATATTTCTATCCAGAAAAATTTCTTTCCTAAAGAACTTTGTGTTATATTTCGAATATCGAGACCAACTTTGAGGCCAAACCTAATTTTACTATTTGAAGTTCCTCAAATGAAAATATGACTTTATATGAATGTCTATCCAGAAACARCATACCAAGAAGAACCTTAAGATTTCACAAAATTTGCTTTCTGGCTTTCTAAGATATGTCTGGATCAGTTAAATAGCATATGCCTTTATAATTAAGACATAATTATTTGAAAATGCTAAAAATTAAAATTGAAATATCTTCGAAATTGCACTCAGACCTTATAAAATGGGTCTAGACCATTAACATGGTTGGGTTCTATAATTTAGACTCGGATTTGCGAAAAATAATAGCTTCCAGTTTCTTGATAAAGTATTTAAAATGAAAAGTAGTCCCTGTTCAACAATAATCCTTCCTTTGTCGAGCTCTAGAAGATTCTACGCACCAACTATCCGCCTAAACATAATTTACGGTCCGTAACCTTACCAGTTCTAAACTAAAGCTTACACCCCTATTAATTACCGACAACGTTACCATAGCAACGAGGCAACTTGTTGTTTGATCAATATCTTTGAACTGCCAAACTGAATACCGAACGCAAACAACAGTTCACTTAATTAGAAAACTCTTAAACGAAGCAAGAAAAACCAAAAGTACAAAAAATTTTCAAACAAAAAACCAGAAGCCATAGAAAAAAGCTTTGCTGAAAAATCGAATCACAAAACTAGAAATGTCGCTTTTCGAAAATCCTGAAAGCATACGCATGCTGCGCGATTTGCTTACACCCCCCGAGRAGCRAGACAATTCGGACACCGACGACGATGAGCCGGTCGCCGRCAACAGCAAGCAGTGCAACAATTTCAGTAAGTGCGTCGACTAAATGTGCAAAAACCGCACGGAAAATAACGTARACGCCACAAAATTTCCAAATGACTTGGCATTTTTTTGTAGCGCCCGCACATTTTGGCAGCAGCAACGGCAATGCAGGTGGCAGCAAACAAAAACAAGCGCACCGAGGGCAAACACCCGAACGCAGCACGTTGCCAACAAGCATCGAAGAATGGCAAAAGCAGCAGGAGCAGGAGGACAATGAGATTTTAGAGACGCGCCGGCGACCCGAGTACAGCATGACCTATCGGCAAGCAGTGGGCACTCAGGACCTCTATCTGCAGGTAGTCGCCATAAAAGCAATAATATGTTGCACATATGGCTGCAGTGTTTGCACAGCRTACACTTTTTTTACTCTACCGCTTACCTGGTTCCATTTTTTCATGTTTTCCATGTGCTGTGCGCACGTATGTGTGTGTATCAACCCCGTTGTTTTTTATTGTTTGCCGCCTCGCTGGTCACAGATGGGCAATCGCACTAATGCCACGGCCAGTTGTGAGGATTTGCTGCTGGAGATACTGCTGCCGGACGAGACGACACCGGCGGATAAAATGGATTTGTCAATTACCGAAGATGAAGTGGATTTGGCGACGCCAATTTATCGCCTCAAATTGCCACTGCCGCACAAGGTGAACGTGGACCGTTGCCGTGCCAAATATGTGGCCGAGCTGCGCAAACTCTGTCTGACGTTGCGACTGCAACGTGAATTCGATTATGTGAACTTTTAGTAAGGCCAAGCGCTAAGCTGCTCAACGCTCGATAGTCGCTGCACTAAAACAACAACAGCGGCAATAACAACAACAACAATGGAAAAATGTTAGGTAAAACTAGCAATGCACTGCAGTGGATTTGTTCTTCGCTCTATTTTGTATGTAATAAATTTTATTGAGCAGCTAATAATAGTGCATATGTATATGTGTRTGCCGATGCTTTGCTGCTACATCAGCTGTGTGGGTTAAATGAGTGCATGTGCGGCGCTGTRGGAGATTATGTCATGCAAATGCGATTTGCGCTTAAGTTGGCTGCGGCATTTTGGTGCTATGCAGTTGCGGTTAAGTCACTGTTAAGCGACCTTGCGGTTTGCGTTATATATATAAGCGAATAGTAATCTACAAACTAGGAGGGAAAGTTAAAAACTGCACTTTCCGTTTATAGGGCATGCTATAAAACGGAAGCTGAGTTGTGTGAATCAATGCTGAGAGATTTACTAATTTTTTTTTGGGATTTCAGAGTAATTTTGAAAATAAATTGAAGTAACGGGAGTAAATCACTGTACATATCATAAAACGAGGGCTCACAAAATGCAAGCTTAGTTGGAGCAATTCGGATTGTGGTTCAGGATTATCCAACTTTCAAATAATTATAAGATCGACCCGAATTTCGTAAAGAATACATTTCCGAATCGAGATACAGAACACGAACTCAGTGGTTTTTCGACAAGAGTCTGATAAAAATTTCAGAAGTTTTTCATATGTTTTAATGGTTGTCCCATACCCTTTAATTTGAACTTTGTAGTTCTTAAAGTCCGAAGGGCGACCTTTATATTAAGATTTCTAGAAAATAAACAAGCACTGACTCTGATCACTCTCAGACATTGMAGGTGCTCTTTAAAGTCGGTCATAAAACAAATTGGTTGTTGTCCTAGCTCAGCAAAGGCTCTGGACCTTTTCCTCGATATATGCCAATACAATTAAAGTGAAATATGAGGCAATGCTTAGCCAGTATTTAAAAGGAGGGACTGAAGGAAATGAAAAGGCATACGAGTTGGCTAAAAACACAATTCCGCTTCTTCAAGGGTTGTTTGAAGCAATGGATTCTAGTGGTATACCACAAGTCTTGGAACATTAGCTACACAGGACATGACAAAACGCAAAATTACTTTGTGGTATTGTTGATGGTGGACTAAAACCTTCTACTTTTTAGCAAAACGGAACTTGGTAATATTAAGGGGGTTATGACAGAGTATCTACCCTTAAGATCACTTCATAAATTGAGGAAAGTGAATTCGGAGAAATGTGAAGCATGTGGAAGACACTCAAACACCGCTAAAGATGCTAAGAATCAATAAGAGTCTTTAGATCGTAAAGAAAAGATCTCTAAAGGTGCTAAAAATCTCCAGAGACGTCAAATATAGCGTAATGACTCACTTTATTTGAAGATATGTATAAAGTTTCGAGTACAAACAGATTCAAAGTAATACAGTTGTAGGAGTTAACATTAAAGTAACAGTTATTACGTTTTACCACAGCTTATTTATATATAAGACCACCCAAATTGACCATAATGTAGACATAACCATAACGAATTACTTAAGCGACATATGTGACAAAACTGACTCCGAAAGCAGGAAGCAACACCAAATGGAGACATAACATGAAGGCATAAACACGTAAAATATGGAGGAGGAGCAGGTCACAGTTGAAAATAGAAAAGCGAAAGTGGCCAAAATTAACAACAGAAACAAAAACTTGTGGCTAAAATATAAATAAACCTATTTATATGCGCACATGCTGCTATTACCCACCTGTGGCTGTATAATATCTTTAAATCGAATGCCAGGACATGAGTTTTTGTGCTTTTAGGCGCTTAACGCGTTTTTTACGGTTTGGGTTAGCACGCAGCTSTACAAGCGCACAGATTAACTTGTTAATAAACAAACATTTTGCGCGACTTGAATATTATTTTGAACATACCGTTTGACGAAAGCAAATTATGCACGCTTTCATTACCGCACAGTAGCAACTACGCTACGGTATTTAATTTTAGCGCGTTTGTTGACTTTTTGCTTTRCCACAGCGTTGCCTATACGCCGCTATATGCAGGTTGTTAGGGGTAATAAGCGCGAATTTTACGACCGCAGTTGTTAGTAATATCTTTTTTAAGCCAAAATTGTTGTTATTTCAACACAGTGAGATAGGAAGCATACATATAGGCGCACATATAGAAATTTGTGTATTTTAATATACATTACAGGGACCACACTAATATATGCATACCATGTGACTACATGTAAATGAGCACACACGCGCTAGCTCGTAAAAATGCCTGTATGCTGCGCCTGCTCTTATACTATGCAAATTACATTTATGTCGAGTGCTGTGCCACAACTTCACTGTCGGAGTCCTTGCCGCATGGAGTCTTTCGCTTTTACGCCGGCAAAGCATACTTTAYATGCATACATATGCATTTGAATATTTCGTGGCAAATTTTGACTAGYAAGCTGTTGAGACATCGCGAGTGGTTTTAGCAAAAAATTAAATACACAAACGAAAAAATATACATATATAAAAAGTGCATCAAATGTATATAAATAAGCTTGAAATATAGTGTAGAAAGATGTCGTGTTTATTTCTATTTATTTTGCTTAAATTTTAATTTTCGTTGAAGCAGCGTTTTTGCGCATTTTTAGCGCAAATTATAAGCTAACTGCGCTACTTCGGCGACAGAGCCCACAAAACGCCTGCAAGTATGCTACTAATGTCAGAAAAAAAGCTTTGCTATACTCTACTTAGCTGAAGGTACTGCCGGTCTGCGCATTAATTTCAAATTAGTAGCCATAATGTGTGGCATAAGCAGCCCARAGTTGTGTAAGTCGTATGGAACTCTGACAAAGAATACTAAAGGTATTAAAAATGTATCTAAAGTATGAGTAAATGTCTATCATGCAGTAAATTTTTTTGCTTTTGCATTAAATTTACTTGAGGTGATTGTTGAAAGTKGTTTTCGATTTAAATGTTTGTGGTAGCGCTTTAATTTCCGTTAGTAYATAATACTAAACTTGAATTTCAACTGCAGGTGTCTGACGTTGCTAACTTATAAGGAGTAAAAGTTCGTTACGCCTAATTGTAGGCAAGAGTTTTTGTCATCACTGCTTAAAATTCTATATTTAGATATAAATTAATTTTTAATATAAAGGCTTTGAAGACAACTATATAGTATATCTGAATTTCAGCCACAGGTGTGCTACTTTACTAACTTATAAGGAGTGAAAGTTCCTTACGCCTAATTTTAGGCAAGAGTTTTTGCCATCAGTGCTTAAGATTCTATATTTAGAAAATTAWTTTTTAGTGTACAGGCTTTGATGACAAGCAAGTTGGTTGCTTGGTTTAAATGGGAGCGCCAGACCGCACGCACTGAGGCCATCATAAAGCTCGTTGTGCTCCCGAGTGATAGCCAATTAACCCAGCAACTCAGTGTGTTTGGTAAAATACTTAATTTTTTCCCCACTGCTGCTTAATGCCCCTTAGGCTGGATCATTGGGCCACTATTAGACTCATTTTACTATACTATATATTACCTAACTAATTTATAACTGTTACTGTTCATGGCGAATTTCCTTGCTGGGGAACAATTCGTTTCAGGAAAAGCTTATGAAAATCGACTCTCTTAGTTTTCTGCAAATAATATGTTGTAAGTATGTTGTAACTAGCTTCAAAATGACAACAAGTTATCAATTAGAAGGTTGCCTATTTYACCTAAATCAATTAATTCTAACTATGCTAAATCTAGTTTTCAATTTAATGCAAAAAAAATGGATTGCACTACACTGGACCTTATATGTATATTTGAACTTATTCTTCAATAAATGAAGCCACCCATCCAGGCGAAAATGTATTTTTAAAAACTACTTGTAATAAAAAAAGAAATAAAATTATCAATTTAATGCAAAACRAATGCATTTCTCTTCACTGGACCAATATTCAATAAATCAAGCCTACCAGGCGTATGAGCAATGTAAATAAATCACCTAAAACTATTTTTAATTAAATAAAGCTATCAATTAATACCAAGTAGCTTGCTTAAACTCAAAAATAATATCTTAACAAACTATACTCGTATATCATTAACAGTCTCGTGTGCCGTTTCCCTAACCACACTTTCTTCAATGCACCTGACAGACCTGGCCGACCCACTTACGTTTGCAAAAAATGTTGTTTCACTGTATGAACCTTATTAAAATGTCAACAAACGAAAAGTGCCGTCCTGCATTGGCAGCCATAATGGCACCGGGGACATGGCACAGCATTACGATAAGTAGCAACATTAAAAAGCACAAACCAAGTTAAATAAAACGAAAGTTTTACTTTGTGGATGGCCGGTGCGTCGTTAAAAGTGGACCATGATGACAGTTGCAGTTCGTTAGCAAGTTGTTAATGCTACAGTATTGGCAGGTAATTTGCAGAGTTTTAATATTGCAAGTGCTTGCATGTGTATGTGTCGGCATGTGGGTGCGTGTAACAGCGCTTTATGGCAATGGCAATTCAAAAAAATATATTTGTATGGTTTGCTTTTGTCAATACATGGCAGAAATTTGTAAAATCTTGTATTAATTTTGGAAAATGAAACTTAAAAATGCGTTAAATTTGTAGCACTAGCGCAATAATGCCACGTTTACACAAGCAAACAAAATCGAATGTCTGACTTGCAGCCAGGAAGATAGTAATAAATGCACGCACACATGGATAAGTGTGGGTGTATGTAGCTGCGGTATGTGGTAGTTGCAAATTGCTGTTAGTGGGCACCACAGGAGCRTAAATAATGAGTTTACTTGTACAGGCACAGGCACAGACACACATACATATACATATCCATACAAGCAAACGCTAGTTCCTTAAGTCAACGTGTGATTGCACGAGTAGTGGCATGTATATTTATGTATGTAAATAACGGTATAATGCATTTGTGCATATATTTGCTCAAGCACTATTTCTACCRCATAACGGAAATTTGCATGCATTGCAACTTCCGTCTGTGGGATTTTGTTACGAGCTACAATTCGGTTGCATAAAAYGGCGCAGCAACGAGCAAATTCAAATGCGTTGGCGCAAATGTGGATTTAATTGCAAGCATGCACTTGGCAGCCTCTGCGTGTGTGCGTCTCATGCGTAAGTTAAAAT